CTTTAAACTTCTTAATTTTTAATCCCAACAAGGTTGTTGTGATTTCGTGATCTCATTATATATATAGTAAATTATATCTCAGTCAAAATAATAAGTAAATAAAAGAAATTAGAGGTGTTAAATAGGTAAAAAGCAATAATAGTGCTTTTTAAACATAAAACCATTTTAACTTCGAAACTAGTATCTGAAAATTTTAGTTTCATCCACTCGGGTTAGAGCTCATTTAATTCAAGGTTGAAAGGGGAAAAAAAAGAACATATGATCCATAATCTAATTTTTGTCTAGATAGCAATTTTTAAGTTTCTTAAACTTTGATTCTTTCTCTCCTCCAAAAACCCAACACTTCGTAAAACTTACCCGCTAGGCAAAAAAAAAAATTATGTTCTGATTTTTGAAATTTTCAAATTAGGTATCCAATTTTAACCATAGTTCAATAATAGAATTCCATGCTAAACACTATGCGTAATACACAATGTAATTTAAACAATCAAATTATGGATATTGTCCTTTTAAAATACCTAATATCAAATTATATTCTTTTCACCATTGTGGTGAAGTAAGCAAATATTGAAATTGCTTTATTGTGACGGTAATTTTCCCGATTAATAGATTTAAAGCTCTACAAGATGACGAATTTATAATATTGAATTCTCTACAGTAGATGTTCATTCTGTACGACAGTGTACAATGTACAAAACATAAACGAAACACCCTTAACTTTTGATCTAATGATCGGATTTTCATGCACTAGGACTCAATTTTAATAGATCGATGGGGATATCAAATAAGCTAATAAGTTAGTGCAGATAATATTTTAAATTAAAATATCAGACACAAAAACATTTTTTTATTTTAATAAACGTGCTTTTTTATCATCAGATATGGCTTTCTTACCCACAAAATATTGGGGGAAGCAGCAGTCTTTGAAATATTGTTTTTAATCGAATTGAAAAATTTTTGCACTCAATCATAAAACTCTTTTTTATCCAAAAATAATTCAATCAAAAAAAATAATTTTTAATAATTTTTTTTCTTTATTTTTTTTATTTAATAATAGCGTAAAAATTTTTGAATTGTATGGTGTACGAATTTTCATATTATTTAAAAGGACGTAATTTTATAGAGCAAAATGTAAAATTAGAACAAAATCAGTCGAATAGTTCCTGGAAAATCAAATTATTAAAAAAAGTCGTGTGTTTAAAATTCAATTTCTTGGAAGTTATGGATGGTTGGCTGAATGTAAACAATAACAAACTTCTTAAAACCGGAAAAAATTTAGAAAACTTCCGGTGTATCCATCCGCTTATGTTACGTTTACATACAGGCATAATTTCTAGAAAATTTTTGTATTGTGATTTAAGTTTAAATTTACGCGTAATTTTACCATTTATAAGAGGTTTCTTCAATTTATAAATTTTATAAGACAGTGAGCCTTAAATAAAATTAGGGAAAATAATATTGCCATATAAATAAAACGTCAAGTTTCTCACGTTTTACGTGCTATGCTTTAGTTGGCTATATATTTGTGTAAAATATCACCAATTGTTAATTTTTGGGTAGCATTAGAACATACTTGAAGATTTTTGTTCAAATTTATTTTCTGCTGAAATTAAAAGAATCGACAATTACAGTCATTGTTTTTTTAAATCTTAATGCATTCAGAATCCCTCAAAACCAACAGAAAACATTTTATTACTATTCTACTAGTGCTAATCATTTAGTTATTTTTAAGCAAAAAACGCTTACTTTCGTTTCCATCTGAAACGGGAGTCACGTGATTTTTCGCATACTGACGTCACTCGTGTCCATCTGCTGTGCTGTGAAAGACATTAGGTTCTTGCTTTCGCTTAAATTTTCGTAGTTGAATCCAACAATTTTAAGTGGTAAATAATTATGTGAGTGCAAAGATAATTATAATAAATTGTGCCCTAATGAAGCTTAATAAAAATGTGGCCTAAAATAACGTATTTTAGTAATATTTTCTAATAACAATTAGATATAATAATTCATATGGTGCTCATTGAAACATTGTTAATAATAGTTGATGGTTCTGAGTATTAAAGATTCTTTTAGTTCAACAAAAAAGGGGTTAGAATGAGTTATGAATGTCTGATATTACTTTGTAAAATAAAACGTTATAAATACAAAATAAATCTGTTTTTTCATTTTTTTAACCGTGTTAATCTTAGTTTTAAGGTATAATTCCAATTATTTTCATTTTAAATTAAAAAAAATTATGAATAAATTTATTATATTAAATAATTTTAGATTTTAAAAATGTAGAAAAGCTTTAGTTATTGATTTTTTTATTTATTTATTTAGTTTGAATTTAATGCAAGGAATTAGCTCCATCATAGCAGTAGTCTGTAAAAAAATTGTGATATCAGATATTCATTCTTTAAAAAAAATTTAAGTTAAACGAAAAAGAAAGAAATTAATATAATTTATTAACTTTATTTTTATTGCTTTAATATATATTATAAGAGTATTGAAATCAAGCATATGCATTTATTTAATTTCACATCAGAGAAACAGGAATTAAATTTTATAAATACATCTAAAAATAATTTTTCACCATAGAAAAATTCCTGTTTACTCAAAGAATAATAATGGTAAGAAATTATATTAACATTACTGTATATTTAAGTATTTAATAAATAACAAAAAAATTAGATTAGAATTTATTTTCATTTTTTGTTAAGTTTTTTTTTTTATTCCTTAGCTTTACTGAAACAAAAGTGTTTAGCTTTATGATATTCGCTAAAATTATGGGACTAAATTAAATTTCATTAATTAAAATTTTAAGTACGAACACATAGACTGTGATGATGATGACAGGCATATATATTTTAATGGGCTAAATTCCTGAAAGTGTTGATTCGTTTTCGGCAATACTAAAAGCTTAAACTGAGTTTTAATTACATTTTTTTCATTAAAAATATATAATGCATTAATTTTACTATTTTAGAATTTTTCTTTGCAAGCACCGGCAAATAGTTTGTATAAATAAGAAGAAAAATCAACAATAACCATCGATGGTAAATACTACATTGCAGAAAGAGAAATTAAAATTTAAATTTTAGAAGTAAAAATAATTTTCAACTACAGCAAAATTCCTATTTACTCAAAGAATAATATTGAAAATAGATATAAGTATTAATATATATTTAAATATTTAATGCCTAGTAAAAAAAGAAGAAACAAACTGTATTACTGAATATTTACTTAAAAAGAAAATCCTTCAATATACTTTAATATATTCTTCAATATTCCTAAATTACCCAAATATTTTGAACGTAGATTGTAACGATGATGGATAGATATTTTTCAATGAACTTGATTTATAAAAACGCTGATTTTTTTTCTCGCGCGTATCCTTTTTTTTCACGCGTAATAAAATTATCCACCCTCTATCTAAATGTATACTATTTCTAACCAACTTGCGATTGATTTTGATTAACTAATTATGCTGTAATGGAGCATATTACTTTAACTTAAAAATAAGTGCAATGAAATAATATTTTCTATGAACATGAATACCTCTAATTTTAACTGAAAAGAAGTATTGATTTGCAGTGAAGAGCTACATAACGATTTCTTCAGCTATTTAAAAACCTTTCTTCCATTTTGCACACACTCTCAAAGCCGTATAAAAATTTTACTAACAACATACAAAGGATATTTATATACAATATAAATTATTTCAAAACTGAAAGAGCATTGAAAAAGCCTTAGCGGGTGGAGGTGAAACGTTTTCATTCAGCACACGCTACGTCATAACCAGTCAGGGATCGTTTCTTATTGCATCACCTACGGAGACCTTTTGGGGCAATTTAAATGTTTAATAATTAAATAACTACACATCTGGGGGAAAAAACAATCAGATTTTCGGATTTGGGAGAGAATTTCTAATTAATCAAGGTTGAAATTTAAAAAAAAATAAGAAGTACTGGAATTATCCATCAAGCTGAAGTTAAGATGAAGTAAAGAGTTATATTGTAAGTACTACAAGCATATTAATATCGGCTGGCACACGCTTTTTCTATCTTATAATCCTTATAAGCCTATAGGCATAAAAATAAGTCGAAAGTAGTAATTCAGAAGTCATACGACAAATATTATCACCTATTGCTATCTGTGCTTAGTTTTACTCGATCAACCATTCATAAATGATAAATAATTCTTAAAAATTATTTTTACTTGGAATTATCTTTGGATAAACAAAATTTATAATTGTGTGCAATTTTTTTTTTCAATTCACATAAAAAGCTCTCTAGATAAGGCAAAATACTCAAAAAATAAAATTAACATGAAGGGGTCTTAAACCATTGAAACCAAGATTACGTTTAGTCCTTTATTTTCTGGGTAAGGAATCCTCATCTGCCGAAAAAAAGATATGTTTATTCAGAGAAAGTATAGTTTGACTACGGTAAGAACTCCCCTCTCCACAAAGTCGGAGGCTGTCTGCTGCTATGGAAACAAGAGTTACTCATTTTAGTGAGGGTAGCTTCTCTTCACTCTAGGACTAACACAAATGACCGAAGATACAGATACCCTTTCTCTCACCGACCCGAGCCAAAACCTATCCTGAACAATGACCCCACACCCCTACTTGAAATAGTTATACCCCGTTACCATAGTCACCGCCGCGACGGATCCAGACTAATGGCTACTGGTGTTCTTACACTAGACAAACTGTACGTTTTTGTGTCTGATTTCGTAACTTAAAATATCGTCTGCACTAACTAATTAGCATGTGTAAGGTCACCCCATAGAACTATTAAGTTTAAGTCCTAGTACTTGCGGCCTTTAGATCAAAAGTGATTCAGGGAGTTTCGCTTCTGTTTTCGCGCAAGAGCGCAAGCCTCTGGATTGGACCAATTAGATTACATTCGCTGACGCAAATGCGCTACTAAAATATATTGCAATTTCTAATGCTGAATGACGTTTTAAAAACATTTTTCTACAATCAAAAATGCTTTTTATTACTCGAAAATCAATATTTTTATTTCTAGATAATACTAAAAAGAAAAAAGTTTATCACACTTAAAATAAATTTAATAATCGATTAATCGAAATCATAGTATTTAATCTAGAGAAACCAGAACCGGATGTATGCGAAGTGTTGCGGCTGACAGAACAATTTTTTTTATTTTAAAAATGATGTTTACATACATAATTTGTCAATGAAAAGCAGAGTATGACTGGTTATTAAAGAAAATTTTTAGCACACAAGTTACATCGATCTACATGGTAAAAATTATTTACAATTTTTATTTGATAATTAATGTTTAGTTATTTTTCCTGATCTTGTGTTAAGTATGCCTTTATTTTAAAGGAAATTTAACTTTCTATTTGTTATTTCCTTTAATGTCAAAATTAAACTGTATACTGCTTTTTACTTTCTGGTTTGAGTTAATACTGATTACTGTTTTGTACTAAATGTTTCATACTTCAAGAAATACATTTAATACCGCACAAATAACACACTGTTTATTTTTCTCATTTATTACATTATGTATAAAGTTGTTTAAAATTGTGCCTCTATTTCATCATGTAACAGTAAAATATTAATTATGATCAAATATTTTATTGCTTTTTATAGTTGTTGTATGTGTCTGTAGTTTCACTAGTTTTAATGAAGATAAGTATTTTTTGTAGCCTATGGACTGTTATAAATCTGTTAAATAAATAAAGCTATTTGTTTAGTTTTTTAATAAAAAGCACAAAGTTTAGGTTGTACCCTTTCTTAAATAAAGCTTATCCACATTAATAATTATCTTCATAGTGTAACAAGTATGTACAGAAACAGGTACTATATAGTTTTTTGCTTAATCTTTCATTTGATTTAGTAATAATTATCATTGTAATACTCAGTAAACTTCAGTTTAATTAGTTAAATGTTGAGTTTTTATTGTTTAAATAATTAAATAGTTTAAGTCTGGCATCTTAGTTGTAATAGTTTATTTTTAAATTTATTGTAAGCTATGAATTAATACTATCTAAACTTAACTTCTTTTTAATTGTATTTCTGTACCATTATTGATGTGCATAATGCAAGTTTTGACTACAATAGGAAAAGATGGTTGAGAAAATTAATTGTAAAACACTTCCTGTTATAGTGAGAAAGTACACTAAGCTGAAGAAATTAATTGATTTTACTTTTTATGTTCTTTTATATATTGCGTTACAATCAACTAAAGAATAAGTAATAAATAGTTTTGACATAAATATTGAGTTTTTCTCTGAATTCTCTCCAATATAAGCAATGCAATCTCTGTATTAATCAAATTATTTTTGGGCACTGATTTTTTTTTCTTTTATTAATTTATATATGCTAAAAAAATTAATGGATGATAGGTTGAACCAATTTTTTAACATTAAACCAATTGTTTTTTAACTGGAATTTCTGGAAATCAAGGTTTTACAGTGCTTAGTGATTTATTTTTTTTAGGAAACAAATTATACCATTAAATAATTTTTTTTTAAATTTTTTTATCGATTTTAAAGATTAAGTGTTCTTTTTTTTTTAATGTATTAATTTATTCAAACTAAATTTTACGTCATATACAAAGTAACATAGACTACATTTATTAATATTAATTGCTGAAGTTGTAATTGATCTTTTTTTTAACTTAAATTTCAACCTCTCTCTATACATAAAACATACATCTGCTATATGTTTACCATGTTTTCCTCATCAAACTTAGAAGATTAATTTTATTTTCACTTCATCGACATATTCTTTTAGAAAACTATGTAATGACCAATTCATAATCCCCAAAAAAATCTGTTCCATAAAAATATAGGATTGTCCTTTTTTCTCTATTTAATACAATAAAAAAAATACTTATTTGCAAACTCTCTTTTAGTAATATTATTATTACTAAAAGAAAATTATTTATTTATTTTATTTATGTTGAAAGAAATTATGAATAACATTTTATATAGATGGCCATAAGAAGCCTTCTAAGGATTCTTGAAAATGGGAGCTAATTATGAATTGTTCACGTCTGTTGGAGACTGAGTATCTTCCTACTATGGAAGAAGCAGTAGCTGGTAAATATTAAAACTTTTTATTTCAAATTCTTTAATATGTAATGGTAGAAATAGTTTTTTGTATTTTAAATTGTAATGTAAAGATCGAATGATGATGCAAAATTATATTAATAAACTTTGTTATAACTTACATCAATTGTAATTAGGTTTTTTAGTGTTTTAACAATTGGCAAAAATTTTGCATGAAGACCCTTATAGAAATAGATGTTGATTTTAGATAGATGCAGATTTTTGACTGTTAAGAATGGATAAAGCTGTCGCATTGAAAACCTAAACATTATATTTTTATAATCCCATAAACATAAAATTTCTTATTTTATGAAGTTTATTTGATAATTTAAAATATCAAACTGTTATTACTACTTTTTTTTAAATTTATTTTTATCAAAAATTTGAATGTTAAATAAAAAAGTGAGCACAAAACAAAATTTCTCTTTGTTGTTGATTTGCTATTTATCCAAATTTGTATAAAAATTCCTATTTACAAGCACAGTATCTCCACTGAATAACATGGGAGATAACTGATTCTGAGGGATTAGGTGGCCACAAATTGAATTACAGTTGACAGTTAAGGGGTTAAACTAAAAAAATCAATATTTTAAATATATACGTATGAAAATAATGATTAATAATGACTAACAAGTGGGAACAGTTGTGATAATGTATAAGACAGCTGGATTTTAGTTTTATATTTGTTAAATACACAATAAATCTTTTTTAGAAATAGTTGTAATTTGAATAAATTTATAAACTTTGAAATTTATATTCTTTGTTATCTTTTATATTCTTATTTATATTCTTTGATTTTATATTAACCTATCTAAAACATTTAAAAAAAGTTTAAATGTACAATATTTTCTTACAAATCATTATCATATGAATAAAATTTATTTTGTGCGCTTTTTTTTCAGTTTTTTTTTTTAAAAAATAATGTTAAATTGATGATTATTTCATCTATATTTATGTATTTTTTTTAAACTCTGTAAAATTACAATGCACTTTTAATCAGTGATTTGCCATATTGTTAGACCTATTGTGGGAAATATTCAATAATTTATCAACTGTACATTCCAAAAAAATTTCACTTAGCTAAGCTAGAGGTGTTTAATATTTAGTTGTTAAATATCTAATCATGAAGTAAAAAATGAAACATTTACTTAGTCTAAAGCATTTTATTACGTATGGGAAAAAAACCTTATTTTCAAACTATCAATATTTTGACAATAAAGGAAACGAAGGAAATAAAAATATGACCACCGAAGCCGACGTCTTCAGGGGGTACCGGCTGGTTTGTAGGACACTCGTGGGTTCGANAATAATTAATAATGACTAACAAGTGGGAACAGTTGTGATAATGTATAAGACAGCTGGATTTTAGTTTTATATTTGTTAAATACACAATAAATCTTTTTTAGAAATAGTTGTAATTTGAATAAATTTATAAACTTTGAAATTTATATTCTTTGTTATCGTTATTATATTAACTTATCTAAAACACTTAAAAAAAGTTTAATTGTACAATATTTTTTTACAAGTCATTATCATATGAATAAATTTTTTTTTTTTGCCCTTTTTTTTCAGTTTTTTAAAAAAATAATATTGTTAAATTGATGATTATTTCATCGATATTTATGTATTTTTTTTTAAACTCTGTAAAATTACAATACACTTTTAATCAGTGATTTGCCATGTTGTTAGACCTATTGTGGGAAATATTCAATAATTTATCAACTGTACATTCCAAAAAAAATTTCACTTAGCTAAGCTAGAGTTGTTTAATATTTAGTTGTTAAATATCTAATCATGAAGTAAAAAATGAAATATTTACTTAGTCTAAAGCATTTTATTACGTTGCGGAAAAAAACCTTATTTTCAAACTATCAATATTTTGACAAATTATACTCTTAGGCATGAGTTTCACAAAAAATTAGACACTGCATTCAACATTTTATTATGTGATGAACAGGACTAACTAACGACAATTCAGATAAACAATAAAATAAAAGCAATTCAGGCCTGAATTCAAGATTTTTAGAAAAACTCAAGTCAGAAGAACACATTATTTGTGCAACCGTTTTCTATAGCTGACAGTAATTTAGTGTTGCCAGAACCTAGAACTATATATTTTAATGTACTCTTTTTCTCATTTAGCTTTAGGAGAACTGAGTATAGGATTAGTGATATTAGGAGGGATTGTCACGACTGGAATGTATTGTATATACATTGAAGAACTTGTATTTCTATATCGTCACTGGCCAGTCAAGTTCTTTCTCTTAAAACTTGGATGTCTCAGCATATTTCCTGTAAGTAATAATTTTTTTTTTAAAATTTTTTTTGTAGTTAGGCTTGTAAGGCTGATTGTTTCTGCAGTGATGTGATTACTGCTTCTCATTGTTCTAAAACACATTAATGTATGAAATTTCTCAAAAGCAGTGCCAATTTAATTTCAATTATTTCAAGCTGTAATAGAAAATTAATATTATTAATAATAAAATTAGATATTATAAAATAAGATAATTATTAATTTAATATAGTGCACAGCCATTTTTTGGAAACGTCTGTTGAAAAAAGGATTTTAACTTTTGGCTACAAAGCGTAAAGTGTTAGAAATAGTGATTGCAAAACAATCATAGTTCTTACAAATCTAATAATGTTAACATTATATTTGAAGTAGGATCTTTTTCATGCACTTTCTTACAGAACATATGTCCTAGCCACTATGAAAATTGTATGATAATATTTGTTTCATTATGTTAATTTTTTTTATATTTATCTAATTTGAATTTCTCTATTTTGCAAAATATTCATAATTAAAAATGGTTTGGTTATGGTTTAACTGGAAATTATTTTTGATGACACTCACAGTGAATTGGTAATTAACATAAGTCTTTCTTGCAAAAAAAATTTTGATATAGTTCTGCTCATGGCCATCGCTCTTTGGGGATTCCCAATCAATTCAGTTTTTATTTATCATTTGATAATTACTAAATAATTCATTAGTATGACAAGAATAATGCAAATTTGAAGGAAAATCAAAGTATTACTTATAACAGAAGACAGGATACAAGGAAACATACTATCAAAGTTCATTAAAATATGTTGTAAAATTGCAATTTAATTACATATTCTTAATATTTATGTATTAATTTAACAACTAATTCTCTTCATACTGATAAATTTGTTTATAATCTGTTTATTTCACAATTATTATTCTAATTGATTATACTTCTCTAATTGACATAAATATTCTATTTTAACTTACTTGTTTCTCACTTTAGCATTTCAGCTATTAACTGCAGGTCTCTGTGTTTTAATGTTTCTATAATTTTTAAACTTGGTTTTATGTTTATAGAAATAGTTTTCTATAAGTAGATAAAACTTTTACTTTTGGTTAGAAATATTTTATTGTATACTTTTTTATTATATCTATATTACAAGTAAGATATTTGAGTCATTTATAAAATGTTATCAATAAGTGATGTTTATGAATTAAGTTGCAGCTGGAGAAGCTGTTAAGAGGTGAATTTATTTGTAATGACTGAAGACTCTTTTTTTTCTTTTCTTGAAAACCATCATATTTTTCAAAATATTTTTTAATTTACATGTTATTGTGGAAAGAGGTATTATGAATTAGCATATTCAAGATAACCCCCTCTAACCATTAAAATTGCAACATCATAATCTGATCATTTGAACAAAAATTAAGGTGCCCTGTTTGTTTATTTTGCAAACTACATGTATATTGGAAATTCTATGTATGATGGAGACATATAAAAAACCTTTTTTTAAAAAAAAATATCTTCATGCAGTCTAAAAAAACTTTAAAAACTCATGTCAACATCAAGATTTTTTATTTATTTATTTATTTTGGTCTTGTAAATCAGTGTTCCCCAAGCCCCGGTCCACGGACCGGTACCGGTCCGTGGATCAAATGATACCGGGCCGCCCATTTCATTGAAAATAAATATAAGATCCTAGGTTTATACCCCAAATTAAAAATATATGTGTTCCATTAAAATTTTATTTATTTAAAAAAAGGGGCCCCGAAGGTAGTGACATAAATTTTTTAATGTTTTAAAAAGTAAAAAGAAAAACACCGAATTAGTATTCACCGAATTCTTTCAATGAGTTTTAATAAAAAAAAACAATCCTCATAACTGTAAATATCATAAATAAAACCAGAAAGCGAGGCGCGAAATTTACATGGGAACTAGTGAAGAACAGTAACAGCAACCAAAACAAAGCAACGGAATAAACTGGACATAAGCAACACATTTCGTGTGTCATTGTCTCCGATTACCCCCAAATGGAACCGTTTCATTGCAGAAAACAAGCTCAGGGTTCTCATAGTTTTAACATTCTTGTAAGTTAAAATGTTAAATCACTTTATATTTATTTTTTTATGTAACTGTATTTTATTTTGAAGGCATGTTTAAATACAATTAAATTAAAATAAATAAATCAAAATAATTTAAAATATGAACAATCAACTCCTCCCCCCAGCGGGCCGCAGTAAAATTATCAAACGTTGACAGGTCCGCGGTTGTAAAAAGGTTGGGGAACACCGTTGTAAATTATGTGAATGAGCACTATGATTTGAACACTAAGTATTTCATTTTCTGAATTTAAATGGATGTGGGAAATGAGCATTCTTTTATTTCAATTTTGACTTATGAAACAATTTTATCTTTATTTGCGAAAGTAATTGTAATAATCTTAAAAAAAATTGAGATATATTTCTTTTGAAAAATGTGGATTTCTTCCTATTTATGTTGGCTGAACTTAATTTTTTCTTTCTTACATTATGATTTTTCTTCTTTTAAAAAAATTTAAATAATGGTAATGTATTGTTACAAAGTTTCAAAAATAGTTTTTTACGAAAAATTTGTACATGAAATTTGACATTTAGGATACAAAAATTTCATTAAATTATTGAGGAAAAAAAAAGTATTGTATCAAATTTTGAGCTTTAGAAAAATATTTGAAGTTGAAGCTGATTCTTTAGCCATTATCTTAAAATTGCATCAAGTAATTTCTAAATTGATTAGCAGAAGTTTGACTGTAGTTCTTAATTTCATTTAGTGTAAGAAAAATTTTAAAAGTTTTCAGAAATCTTTTATGGTCAATTTACTATGCATTGATAATTTTGAATTTTCTAGATTGTGGGCTCCTGCTTCTTCCTAAATCTTTTGGTACCTCGTGCAACTGAGTACACAACAAACACAGTTATCTTGTAAGTTTTTAATACCTTCTTATTTATTTATTTTTATTTGCATCATTAAAAAATATCGTAAGATTTTGATGCTATTGAATTTGTGTAAGTGTAAGTTTGACAAATTTCTTCGGATCTTTTGGTTTGCTATGTAAAATAATCTGCCTTAATTTGTGATATGTGTGGATAAATTGAATGTATAAAATTTAAGCATAGTTCTACCACATTAGAGCATATAAAAGTTCTTTTGAAATTTTCTTTCCGATAATTTTATTTTGAATTTACTTTTTGTTCCACTCTTTATTTGGTGATTTATTTTTGTTTGCATATTATTATTTGAAATCATAAATAATGAAAAAATATTGTAATAATGCTTAAAATTTTTAATTTTAGGATTATATAGTACTTAAGGTTATTAAAGAAACATCAGAGTCAAAGTTCACTAATAAATATCTTTTTGAGTCTTTTGTGCACTTACTCTCATAATAATAATTAACTTCATTTTAAGCTCAAAAACCCAACTTTTATTTTCAAAGAGCTTTTGAAATTATTTTTAATATATTGTTTTTTGATGGAACATTTGTGCTACTTCACTTAACCTGCATTTCTGCTAATCAGTAATTTCTTCTTTTTTTACTTATTAATGCATAGTATATACTACTGTAATTTAGGCGTTTATGATTTAAAACATTAAAGTTTGGTATGCGAGGTGCATCTAATGGGGCTCCCTATCCAGTGTTTTTTTTCTTTTTTCTTTTATTACTTGAGCTTGAAAAGCATGATCAGTGATAATTTAAAGAATTAACAATGCAGGTGAAAAACAGTTTGCATGAATGTAATAAAAGCGCACCAGATGCTTTCCCTTTCAACCAAAAGAATTTGTTGCCAAGTTCCCTTATCGCAATCTCCCCCGAATAGTTTCTTACAAGGATCGACTGAATTACAATTCTCCCTCCCTCTGTATATTTCTGTGTTATTTTACTTCTGAAGTTTGTAAAGTTGGCAAAATCTACTTTGAAAAAAAGTGAAAAATAGTTAATTTTTGGAAAAAAAAAACTTTGTAATTTAGATGAATTTAGATGTCTGAACTTTTTACTAAATTTAATGCAAGCTTTAGGTTTCACACTCTAAGTCTAATTTTTTAAAGTAATTTTCTCTATGTTTACGTCACACGTTTGAGATATTAATTTGATTTTAAGGTGTCTGCCCGCTCCATTAGTGCTGTTTTTCTGGGTGGTTATTGGTTATGCATCGAAAGAAAGGAATTTATTAGAGCGTCTAGAAGACAAATTGATACCACTTCGAGGTCCACCCTGTTGTTGGTTTTGTTGGTGCTGTCCTAAAATGCCATTTTCAAAGTAAGTTTTACAATTGATTCATGGATTTAATTATGCAAAGTGTTTAAATTTTATTTCATTTTCCATTATTTATTCATATTTTTTATTTTGGATTAGAATCATTTAACTGTGTAACTTCATTTGCATATTTTCTTTTTTTAAAAAAGAAAAAGGTCTATAATTGTATTAATTGTGAAATAAAACCGTTAAAATGCTTCCCCAAATCGTTAAGTACCAAAAAAAGTTAAACTTTTCTCCGTATTTTTCTCCCTTTCTTTATTATTTTGTTTTTCTTCCTCCCCTTTCAGTGTTAATTTTCTGTTTTTCAATTTGGATTTTAATATTCCTCCAAAATCTTAAACTCCAAAGTTTAAATATTTCTGAGTATAGTTAAAAATATGCTAATATTATATATGATTTCTAAACATATTTTTTTAAGGCTTTTATATGGTAATAACAGGGTGCGTAGCGTTTTTAAAAATTGCTTAAAGGTGCTTATTTTCGTTTTTGTTTTTAAAAGCCCTTAAAGGTGCTTTTTTCATTGGGTGTTTTTAAAAAGTCTTAATTTTCCCTTTTTCAAAATCAGATTTTTTCTTTACCATGTTGATTTTTGCTACGAATTATACAAAAAGACACACTTCACATTGTTCTATTCAACGTTTTCACAATTAATTCAACTCCAATCTATTTCGGCGTATTGTCAGTCTGTAGTGTATGAAAACACCATTCGTTTTACATGATTCAAAATTTCGTGATTTTTGACAATTGTCAAAAGCAATGCCAAACGTTTTTTTTTTTTTTTTTTTTGACATGACTGTGAAAACAAGATAAAGCAGTCAATTGTCAAAAACTTTCCAACCCTGCTTAATTATGATATTTTTTTAAAGTGCTTAAAAATATTTTTTGAGGGCTTGAAAGGTGCTTATTTTTTGTTGAATAATTTGGCTACGCACCCTGAATAATATTTACCTTAGCAACATTAAAATAAAATGATCTAGTGCTTTTTGCCTGTTGTGTTAGACTCTTTATGCCAATTGTACTACAAATTTGCTGATCGAATTAAAGTGCTAGTTGTGATAATTGACCAACATGAGTAACTACAGTTAGCTAAAATAACATTCAAAACAAAACATCTTTCCCTCTCAAAAAGTTTAAATTTAGATTTATGTTAACCAGATTTCAAATCTCTTGTACTTTGTTTAAATTATTGGGAAATACAATCTAAATATTTTTAAATACTTTATTTCAAATTTAATAATACAATTTAGTTTATATCAATAATATATTAAGCAAGGGACCCATAATAAAAGTTAAGAATTTTGAATTTTACAGCTCTGCTAAAAATAATCATTACAAGCTTTTTAAATTTATCATGTTTTTTAATTTTATGGTTGTGATTTCTTTAGTTTTCCTATGCAGAATATTTATAAATATGGATACCACTGCCTTCCAGAGATTAGCTTAAGTTATGGGGTATCATCTACTTAATAAAAACTAAAGCATGTGCATTTAACCCTTGGAGTCCTAAAAATGTTGAGCCCTGAGTAAAAGATCTGCTTGTTTCACCTTGTTGAAAGGTTTAAGTTACTATGTTGCTGGCCGAGTGCAAGTACATGTGATTAAAATAAAAGACTACATACAAGATTCACTTCTTGTAAAGAACTAGCATTTTATTTAAATTTCAAAGGGATCAATAGAAAGGTGAATGTTTAACATTCATATTACTTATATACAATGAAAATTATAATTTTTAGAACGAAAACAATTATAGGCAAATCAAAATAGAGAGTGATTAATTACCATTTCTTTGATGACCATCGTACACCATATACTTTAAGTTCTTTCCCTTTCAAATTAAGCACGCTTTTTATGTTTTAATTTTTTTTGTTTAAACATAACTCCTTAAATTTCATCTCTCTACTTCTAAATAAACTTCATCCTCTCAATTCTGTCTCTACTGTTCCGCAATCCTTTTTTCACTAAGCTTCAAAAACTTATCCCTTGAAAGTTAAAATCCTATAATTTTAGGTTAAGAATAAAGGCATAATCAAAACTAAAATATTTTATCACATCCTGAATTTAAAGGGGAACACTAATGGTCCACCCTTACATTTAGACTCAGCTGGTCAAAAGTGATCTGAAACTCCTTAATTGGGACTTTTTATATTCTGAGAAAATGGATAGGAATCATAAAAAGGGGTCGATAAATGGTTCCCCCAATCCTAAATACCAAAAATAGCATAAGACCAGAAATATTTTAACTTCAACACTCTATCTTAGTTATAAGATAATTCAATTAAATAAATAGTTAAATTATATAAGTTTAAGGAGCATTTAAAGTTTACGATACAATTAAAGATATCATAACAAAGTTTAAAGCAAGCGTTAGCTTAAATATTCAGTACAACATTATCTTTCTGTCTCATTTTAAATTTAATATATTATATACATATACTAATTATAATTTAGCATATAATTTTATATAAAATAATTTATAACTGGAATTTAAAATTTGTGAAAATAATTTGAATTGAGATGTTTGTAACTAGATTAAAAAATTTATTTTAATCAAAGAGCTATGTTTATTTATCCTAATGAATTTATTTTAATCAAAGAGATGTGTTTATTTTTCTTTCTTTTTCTAGGCAGCGGTTCAAAGTAGTTAAAGTCTGTATATACCAATTTTTTTTAACGCCAGTTATTCTGTATGTTATTGCAACAGTCTGTTCAAAATATGGAGTCTTTAAAGAATTAAAAGTAAGTATTTTTATTTAATCCTAGCAACAACTTATCTTCATTAAGTCACAAAATGTATCTCATTTTTGTTTATCACACTTTTATTGAGATTCCATCTTTTTCTTGAATGAGAAAGAAAGTTCTGTTTTGTCAAGAAATTTTGACAAGAAGGAAGAATTTCCTTTTTGCGTTCTTGTTTTTTTACTTTAATTGATTATTGTAATATTTGCATGTGTTTCTTATATAAATGTTCATTCTGCTTCAAAGAATTTAATATTTAACCCTTTCGCACCTAATGGGACACGTATGTCCCAAGCAAATTTCAAAAAAATCTTTTGGGACAGAAACACTTCTCTGTCTAATGAAAGACTTTCCCACCAGTTCTGACAATATTTTTGAAGGTATTTCACAGAAAATAGATGGCACTACCATACATAATGGTGCCTTACTCATAGTTTATGCTACCAAAATAGTTCTGTTGTAAAAAAAAAAATATATATATATTTTTTCCTTGACTCAAGAATGCATTCGAAGAGTTTGGTTGTAATAAAAAGATTTCGAGAATGACAATTGTCGTAATTTTCACTTTTGTTATTTTCACAATGCATGAAAGTGTCTTATGCCTACATATATATTATGGGGTTTTTGCTCAAAACATTGTTAAAAATGCTCTCTTGAAAAATTTAGAAATGTGGTTTATCATTAAATTGCCTTAAGCCTATTATTTCAATAGAGGTGTCTAAGCTGGCATCACTTCACTTACCTGTCCTGTTGAAATCCATCAGTTATCACGCAATTACTAGTACAACCAATAGGAACTCATTTCTATTGGGAGACTCATAGGAATCATCCAATAGAAATAGTGCAAACCAAAATTAATTGATTGATAATGGAACACTGATCTAGTTCTGTCTCTGACTTGAACATCTATGTTGGAGAACTGGATAAAGGGACACACCAAGTGACACATTAAAAAGGCTCAACTTATTATATGCAACTTTGCATTAGATTAAAACATTTTTTTCCCTGTTTACTTCTAATAAAACAGTTTAACAACTTTGAACTTAATTTATAACTTACAAAACTCTAAGCTAACTTAGTCAACTGATAGAAAAATATGCAAGTTGGGAAGAAGTTGGAAGTGCAATGAATGTTTCATTTAATTCATATTTATAGCTAATTGAAATTTTAAAACTGAATTCCTAAACAAATTTACTTAGTGTCAATTTTTATTCAAAATATTTTACCCTATCTGTTGTATTTAGATTATAAATTTTGTTACATAAGAAATTCAGGTTGAAATTGAAACCATTTCTAGATTTGGTCATGCTATATCTCTGACATAACATTTCAAAGACTATGTGATTCATGTAAAACTATATGGAGCTAACATATACAATTAAAAATATTATTACAAATTTCAAATATATACTAAAAATAAATTTTCCCACTATTACTAAGAAATCACATCAAAAAAACATTTAACTAGTTTTTATTTGGAACCAAAAATTAAATAAGAGTTTACGAAGCAAGTTTGCAAATAAAGTTGCTATGGTCACAATGGAAATGGTTAGATTTAAAGTTTATCCTGATTGAATCAAGAACTAAATCTGTGATCACAAAATAAAACCTTTTGGAATCTTTTAAATAAGTAACATTTCATTTTGATTTATAATTCTCTTTATTGTCAAGAAACAAAAATGATTGCAAAACAATTCTCTTCTCACTCCCTTAAACTCTCCAATCCCCCTGAAATAGGAGTTCCCCCACTCAATATAGTCAATAATATGAATGTGAAAGTATTTGCCAAATAGAAAAGAAGATTTGGCCAGCCCACCATTTAAACACATCTGCAAAAGCAAAGATATAAAATATTTTTTATTGAACACTCTCTCTGAATCGTAGCAGTAAAAATAAGGAAATGTAACTAAAATTTAGTAATATTATACCCTCTCCTTTGAAAAGTAAAATGTAAACACAAAGGGAAGTCTTTTTCTCTTCTTAGAAGTGTTTGTAATAAAATAAAATTCATAACGTTCATACCATAAGATTTTGAAATGATGAATTGAAGGATTATCCAATAAATTACTTAAATACAAAATGTTAAGCAGTATATTCATTCTGTTTTTGTCGCAAGATTATTGAAACTCTCCTTTAAAATTATTTGATTAAATAAGTCTTGAACATGGTTCTAAGTTCCAATTAAAGATTGGAATGAGGAAATTTTAACTAATTGATACTGGTTACTTTTTAATGCAGCAATGCGATAACATTTTTCTATATATTGTTAAACTATTGAGATTTGTTCAGTGTTCATTTATACTGGAAACCGTTAAAATTTTGTTTGAAAGAAAGTAAGCATGAAATTAAAAATGATATATTCTACTATTTTACCATAAAATTTTCCTTTATTAGACTCAAATTGAATTTAGTTTATTGTTTGCCCCTTTTAAAAGTTGTCTGATATATGCATAGTGTACCAAAAATTGTTTTGATTTTTTTGAAGAATGTTATATGATTTTTCTTTTGACTTCACTACAAGGCCTGTATTAATTTAAGTTGTAAGAGTTTAGTAATAGTTATTGATTTAGTGCTATTTTAACTTGCTTTTTTTAATTTTTTATGTGCACTTGTCTGTTTTCATTTATTCTTTTAGTATATTCATATATTCTTTTAGTATACACCTATTCATGTATTTATTTTGTGCATATTTTATTTTATTATATTTTTCTATCAATATGTTTTTTAACCCTTGGTAGTCACGAAAGGATTGTTCCAAAGGCTTCTTCTTTCCTCTTCTGATAAAATTAACTTTAACCATTATAGATATATTTTTGGTGCATTTTCTAGTTTATAAGCATCAGTATGTTTATAAGCATCAGTATTCTCTAAATTCTAAAAGCTTGATCCTGATGGGAGTACTTAATAAACCCTATGAGATGCAATTTTTTAAATTTTTTTTAATTATTTTTTTTACTTAAGAAGCATAAACGTAGTATAAAGATGTCTTTAACAATAGCAGAATTTTTGTTTCATGAACATTTTATAAGAATGTGTTTAACTTGGTAAATGTGTACATGCAACTATACATGTTGGAAATTATTGTTTGCATATCAAGGGTGTTTTAAAAACTCACTCAAGACTTGAATGTTACACCACTTGCGTGATAAAATATTGCCAGCAAAAAAAAAAAGTCTTGACAGTCTGATTTATTAAAAATAAAACACTACACTAAAGGACAATGCATTCTTATTGTTGAGCAAGTTTTGAGAAATATTGAATATATTAATTTAATTTCATACTTTCATGATCATAATTGACGTCCAAGATCACAGGATTAAACACCAGCAAATCTTTTTTTTTTAGATGTCCAAATTAATACTAACAAGCCCACAACAGCTCTTGTTTTGAAGGAAAAAATTGAGTACATATTCATGAAAATTCAGACTTATTTATGCAAAACAGTCATTGAAAATTCAGGCAAATGACACATTTTTATATTTCAAAGGACTCAATAAGCATGTGTGCCAGCTAATGCTTTTTACCCACCACTATACTGTTCTATACATACTCTATTCGGTATAACTTATGAGCCAATAAAAAAAAATTACAATCTTTAATAAGAATGTGCATTTTAAAATCATAACTACTACTTTGTGAATTTTAAGACACCCTATGCATGCATGTATTCAGCAAAATTTAATCAAATTTAAAAATTTTTAAGTTTCAATATAAAGTTCTATTTATTCCACTATCTCAAATATTACACTTTAAAATAACACTAGTCATTCTAAATTATGTTTTTCTAATTTCAGTTTGTGCCAGATAATGCAGCGCCATATCTCATGGGTCTGAACTTTGTGTCATTTTTTATTGGAACGTACGGATTGGTGATTTTCATGAAGACCACTTCTAAGCTTCTCTCTGGTTTTCACATTCACGGCAAGTTTGTCTCCTTACAGATGCAGTTCATTCTAGTACGCTTCCATTTTTTCTCTTTCGACACTCTAGGCAGGCTGGGATACTTTCCTTGTCACCCACCGGTTTCATCTTTAATGACTGCTCTGTGTAAGTTGCATTTTTTATCAAAGTTGTTTATTGCTTCTGTTCATTATCAAAAGTTGTTCATTGTTTTTGTTCCTTATCAAAAGTTGTTTATTGTGTTATGTATGGCATTATACTATCATATGGTGAGACAAATTCACACGTGTCATTTAGATTAACAGAGTACTGCTGTAAAATTTAGAAATTAACAAAGATAAAATTAATAAAAATACTATTGTGAGACAGATTCTCACATTTTGTTTAGATTAACAGAGTATTGCTGTAAAGTTTAGAAATTAACAAAGATAAAATTAATTAAAATACTACTTTGAGACAAATTCTCATGTTTCATTTAGATTAACAGGGTACTGGCGTAAAATTTGGAAATTAGTAATGATAAAATTAATCAAAATAAAACAGTGAGACAAATTTACATACTTCCTTTAGATTACCAGGACACTGCTGTAAAATGAAACTAGCAAGACTAATATTAATCAAAATATAACATTGAAATAAATTCTCATGCTTCATTTAGATTAACAAGATACTACTGGAAAATGTAAAAATCAGTGAAGATAAAATTGACCAAAATACTTCTGTCTGAAACAAGCTCTTCTACATTTAATAATATCTTTTTTGTATAAAAGGCCTTTTGCAATAACAACTAAATAAATTTTTTAAGACTAATTTAGCTATTTTTTTCAAAATTATAATTAATTAGTTTTGATATTTGAAAAAATTTTAATAACTTAAATTCTAGTCTCATTTCCTACAAGTTTTAGGTAAGTCAAAATACTTCAGTTTAAAGCTGACTATTCTTTCTTGAAAACTTTTTTTCTTTGTGCATAAATTTTTGTGAAATAAAACTGTATTTATTTTATAAGGTAATTTAGCTTTTGTTACAGTTATTATTAAAGAATTTTTTAACTTAAATTATTGCTCCCAGTCTCTGCAAGACAGATCAGAATTGATGTTTGTAAATCGGTGCATTTTACTTTTATAAATTGGTATAGATAAGTCAAAATACTTGTGAAGCAAACTATTATTTTTTAAATGATATTTTTCTATGTATAAAATATTTTGTACTATAAAAAAATAAATATAAAATTTAATGTAGCTGCAATATTATATAACAATTAGTGATAAATTCTGATAATGGAATTTTTTCATAATTTAAATTAGTGTCCACAACTTTTGTGAGTTTTAAATACCAAAGTTTAACTACATTTTGTATTTACTTTTGCTGCATTTTGCATTTAAAAATTAACATAGATTAAACTAAATACTATATTAAAAGCAAACTATTCTCGTTTTAACTATGTATTTTTATGTATAAAATGTTTATACAATAAAACTATATATATTTTATAAATAATATGGCTCTTTTTATTATTATTTTTAATGAATTTTTAGCTTAGAGTATTGCTCCACCCCTCTACAAGTTTATCAAAATTGGACTGTAATTTGCTGGTTTTTGAAAGTTATTATAGAGCAGTTGGTAAATGCATTTTGCATTTAAAAATTATCATTGATAGAACAAAATATTTCAGTATAAGACAAACTATTGTTTTTGTAAATGTTTTTATGCATAGAATATTTTGTGAAATAAAGCTACATCAATTTTGATTGTTCCAATGAAATATTAATGTTTTAATATAATTATTATTACATGTAATTTATCATGATAGCCAAAAATTTTTTCGCCCTCCTTTCAAATTTAGATATTAAGCTATTCCTTAATTTGTATTTAATTTCATATTTGTTTGTTTTTTTCAACAAAAGTCTGTTTTCTAATTTTTTTTAATCATGTGTTAGAATAAAAATCTATAGAGACATGACACTTTTCATTAAAACGTTATTCACTACTAACTAATTTGTTTAATATAATTTTATTTTAGATATTAGAAGTGCCTTGCTTCTGGGAGAAGGCTTCATTCTGTCAGTGGTTGGTAGATTTTTCTTTCTACATGCTCCTCCACCACATTTCTTAACCGTCGACTCAACGCACCCCATTAATTCCAATACATGAAACATGTATAAACTTAAAAATGAAATAATTTGTACATACATTTGCATTACGTACATAAACAAATTAGTGGTTTTATTTATCTGCAAGGTATAAGAAATTGTTATGATAGTTTTTATTTTTAACTATTACATTAATATGTTAATTATGTTATATTAATTTTTTTCACCCTTTATTTTTTTACTTAGGATATTTGGTTGTGAATGCATGTTTTTATACTTACTTAGTTTTTATTTTTTAGCATATATATTCCCTTAGTTTGAAGTTGACTTCTAAAGAAAGTTTTTATCAAGATATTAGCTTATTTTTACCAGTATATGCTTATACTAGTATTATTATTAAAGTATTAGCATTAGTATTAAGAGCCTCTTAAAAGTACTTTTTATAATTATGTTTTAAGATTAACTTTTTTTCATAATTTCCTCTGTGATTTATGATTATACGTTTATCAGTATTATTTTTAATTATAAACCATTAAATTAAATGATATCTGCATCATGCTGATGAAGTATTAAAACTTTTTTAAATACTTTAATTGTAACGAATTAAGATATTTTCTATGTTTTATCTATTGGTAGTTTCTTAAATATTATTTACTAAATAATTAATTTTTATTTTATCAATTATCTTGAATTTTTATATTGTTAATTTAAATAAATCCTGTTATTATCAATACTTATAAGGATATTTACAAATTTTATTCTGTAACTTTTTTATTATAAATTATATTGTTTTGTCAATATTTTGATTATATTAAAATTTTAAACTGTAAATTTTTAAAACATAAATTACATTAAATTTTGTTACGCAGATATTTAAGATTTTTATTTAAACTTTTAATACTCATTATTTATAACTGTGATTTTTTTTCATGACATTCCATAATGTGATTTAGTTAATATTATATCAAATTCTGTTATATGTCAAAAGAAGTCTGTACCTTGCAGTATTTTATACACCTCAATATGTACAATATTATAGGCAAAAAAAATTTTGCTGTCAGTTAGTTTTTTACATTTTTTGTTTTGTTTCATGAGCTATAGTTTTAGTAATGATTTTTAAGAAATTTATAAAAATCATTGAAAGCTCTTAGGTGATATATGCTTGTTGTTGTGAGTATAAAAAATCTTTACAAACTATCAGTAATTTTTTTTTAAGTTTTAAAAGCTGTTATATGTTTTACTGCATTTGCTCATTTCAATATTTTTGCATTTCTTTTCAATTATCACTTTTTGCCAAATCCTCTTTTGATAACTGCATATAAAGACAAATTTATAAGAGCTCAATGAATAAAAAAATAATCAATTCATTTTGACAACTGGTTTAGATTAATAGAAAGTGGACTTCAGAATTTTTACAATTTGGTGATTGGTCAGTTCAATGATATATGCAATAATAGCGTGGCTTTTAGAAATAGTATAAAAAATCATCTTAAAACTTTTGTTAATTTTTATATTCACCAAATAGTAGTCATTTGAAGTCCAATAACAACCATGCTGTGTTCATTTCATTATTATGTTGTCATACATTACTGTTATTTATTGTATATTATGTAAATATTTGCTTAGATTTACAATAGAGGATTTATGCTATATAGACCAAAAAAAGAAACAGAATAACAGCTGTCTTAACAGTGTAGCACTGTAAAATTATTGTACTTGCTTTTTTTCATAGCTTTTTTATTAATTAATAATAGCGCCTGTTTTTATACCTCAATAATCCTTTGCACCATTAATAAGTATGCAAATTAGACTTAGACACATAATCATAATTATCAACTATGCATTGAGTCATGTGTTTCACTACATTGAAAACATTATTTAGAGTGAAGGCTTGGTAGAATTCTCGATCAAATAAACACATAATACCTCAAAATGGTATGACATAAGAACTCTGTGTTTTGTCTTCAAAATACAGTCTTCTTTGTATTAGTGCTAAATCATATTCTTAGCCTTATTAATTTATTTGTTATATTTATAAAGTACTTTTTAATGATAGAAGCCAAGCTTTAAATAGAAGCATTGTGTCTAGAAAATAATCTAATTTAATAGTATTAGTATCCATTTAAATCAGCATTTCCTGAGGTTGCTTTAAGGGCAGAATAAAGTATCTATCTTAACATTATTTTTATCTTATTATGATATTATCCAAGAAACATTAAAAAAACTTATAATAAGTTTGATTTAATGAAATATCAATATTTTATGGAAAAAAAATTAAAAGAAAACTTTGCAAATAATTCCATTTTACAAAAGTTCAATATATGATTTCAAATTATCTTCAAATTGCTATTCTGCAAGTGATAGATAGAATTATATAGTATTGCATTTTGATATCTAATTTTGAACTTTTTTAATGTATTTTTATCACAAGCATGCAAAAGTTTAAATTAAACCCTTCAAGTTTGATTCTTTTTTCAAGTAATTTCTTTTATGGTTCATAATAAAAGCAACAACCATCTCCATTTTTTTTATAACCAGCGCTAGACAGCCAATTCAATTTTGGGTTTATGACCCCAAATGTTCAACTCCATATCCTTGTAATTTTGAACCCGATCCAGAAGACTCCTGGATCAAACATTGGGACAAACTAACCTGCATTTGAGTTACATGGAGTATAAAACCACAAAAACATTTCACAGATAGCCCAACGGAAAGGGGATAGTAACCCATGGTCTGCCACTGAGGATATTTTATGTCAGCACTGTCATCGGTGCAAGCCAGGAGCAGAATTCGTATCAACCAGCCAACTCTGGAATTCAAACCTGGGGGTTCTTATTGGGAGACAAACGCTCTATCCTCACAACTGTACAATTTCCATTGCAATATTTTTTAGAATTTTTTTTTTTTGAAATGTATTTCAAAATATTATAGCAAAAAGTTATAATTAAAAAAAAATAATTGGGCAGTTTATAAACAATGCATAGTTTAAAACTTATTTTTCACTATATTTTATTCCTATATGTATTATCTACCTAAAGAATGCTTATCTTGATAATGATATATTTGAGAAAATGCTGTTTTAAATGCCAGTTTTTAAGAAACTAGAGGAGATGCCATTTTTATCTTGTCACAAATAAAAATCAAATAGGTGCTGAAATTGTAAAAATGTATACATATGCATTAGTTTTTAATTTCTCATCTATTAATGCTTTGTTGTGCATAGCATCCTTATAGAGCTATATTTCTATTTTCTATTTAAACCCAATGGAAATGCTACAATTATACATTATTGCGATTACATCATATTTTTCTCTATGTTAGTATTGTTTCTGATAGTTCTATTTAATTTTATAATAATCTTTTTAATTAATTTTTTTAATTTTATTTTCGCTGTGTATTTTCTGTTTTTTTAAAAAAAATTTTTATATATATAAACTATGATCTAGTATTATTTTGAGCGTTAATTTTATTGCAGTATTAATATTTGATTTTAATTGTATTTTTTACCAATTTCAAACATTGTATTTAAAAAAACATTTTATTCAAAAAGTTCTGGAAACTCTTGTTTATGTTTTACTAAATAAATAATTCATATTTTAAATTAAAAACCCTAGATTTTATAAAATAATTTTTATTAGATATTAAACTAATATGTTTTATCCTTTTTACTTTAAAAGTTCAAATATTCTTTTATATTTTTAATTCCATTGTGAAGTGGTGTTTTATTTTTTAGCATTTAATTTTCTTGTTTAATGAAATTACTGCCGAACTGTATATTCATAAATTATAATAAATTGTTTAGCAGTAAAAATGAGATTTTAAATAGTTCTGGTAAATCAGTAGTAAAATTGAACTTTAGTGCAGATTTTAACTATAAATTTAATAATTGAGTCCAATAAAACGTTCTTTGATCAGAAACTCTAAGCATTTTTAATTACAGTAATTATTTTTTTATAAATTAATTTTTCTCATTTAAAAAACTCAAACTTATTCAAGCCACACTACTTAACTATTTATTTTAATCATTTCAAAATTTGTAACTTAATTTACTTTACTTAACTATTTATTTTATGTACTTTTTTTCTCACCTGCTACTTGATAACCATACTGTTTTTTACGCTTGTTTATCTATTGGTTCTTTTTCATTTTGAAAACTCAAAGTTGCATTTACAATATACTAATTTTTTGATTTAAGAAATTTTTGTTTCAAAAGAAATATTTAGATCATAAATAATCGGCAAAATTGGTAAATTTTTATACTGGTCAGTTGTAGCATTTTTAACAGTGGTCACTCTTTCAAAAATTAAATGTTTTAAACAATTAAAAAAATTTATAACAACATAAAGCATTTCTCAACAATGTTCATTTTTAAAATGAAAACTTTAAAGAAACAAACATGTAATAAAGTAATTTTCAGAATGTTATAAATTATTCATAATGCTATATTAACAAAAATAATAAAAGCACATGGGGCACATTCCCCCCCCCCCAAAAAAAAAGTAGATCTGTCAGGGGGCTACAGGCAGACAATATTTTTATCCTCATTTGTTATATTTTGTTGCCTTGTGACCAGTGTTGACCTTTAATTTTGACCAATAGCTATAAAATTGATCTGACTATTGATTGGTTCTATTTAATTTTTTACTTGAAATAAAACTGACTAAGTGAAAGCCGTTTCACAATGGATGTTTTTTTAATTGCATTTTCAGTGAAGTATTGCATTTTTTTTTCACCTTTTGTTTTGTTTGTGGTTATTATTTCCTTCTGTTCTTGTTATTCCAATTTACAGAATTCTGCCAAGCTCAATGTTCGTTTTAAACCCTTACTAGTGTATTTTGACAATCAGGATGAATAGGGGATGATTAACGCTTTTAGGACAGCCAATTTTAACTTACCATTTCAAATCTGGAAATGTATGGTTATTATAGAGATCCATGATTTTGAATAGTCCTAGAGGCATTTTAGGTACAAATATTGTTGTTGTTAAAACCACTGGAGAAAGTATTTTGGTTATATGATCATGTGCTGTTTGGTGCTAATTGGGTTATATTTTTGAAAGAAATGGTGGACATCTGTTACTTTCTTTTTAGCCCTAAATGTCATGAAATTGATCAATGTTTTCGAGTGCTGTGATTTATTGTTTTTTATTTATTTAGTTTTGATTAAATAAATTAATTCAGATATATAGCTTTGATTAAATAAATTAAGATATAAACAGAAGAAAGTATCGAGTTAGATTGATTTAATCCAGATTTACCACCATGTAATGATATAGTGTTGTAAATATGTACCAATTTTTTTTTCTTTTCCTTTTTTTTTCATGCAAACCAATGTTAGATTTTTTTCTTGGAAATCCTTCCTACTTTTGAAATGTGAAATTCTTATGCAAAAACAGTACATTCCATAAATCTATTAGATCTTAAAACATAAACTAATTTTTTTTTGTTGAAAGAAAAGAAGAAAAAATTAAATGTTGTAGGTTAAGTAAAATATTTACTTCTGTTAATTGAGTACTACTAAAAGCATGCTGAAACTTATAAATAAACTTAAACCTTTAACTTGAGGTAGTT